TTGAAAATAGTTTGCGGCAGAGCTGTTGGCACGGGTTTTTTCAGGACAAATGCCATCATTGCGATTGGCCTGAAAAAATTGTGGACCCAAGACTGGTCAAATGGTCCCAAGACCGGTCAAACGGTTTGCAAAGGCTGAAAAATGGGACATGCACAGAGAAGCTTTTACACAAAAAAAGCCTTTACACAGAAACTTTGACACACAGACGCGTTTACAGAGACACAGAGGAGTCTTGACACAGAAGCCTTTATGCACAGAAGCTTTTTTGCACAGAGTAGCTTTTACACACAGAAGTCTTTACACAGAGAAGTCTTGAGACAGAGAAGCCTGTACACACAAAGGCTTTTACAGAGAGAAGCCTTTCGCACAAAGAAGTCTTGACACAGAGGAGCTTTTACGAGAGAAGTCCTTACACAAACGAGATTTACACGCAGAAGGTGTTACAGATAGACGTTCTTTCGGCGCACAGAAACTTTAACACAGAGCAGCTTGTACACACAGAAGCTTTTACACAAAAAAGCCTTTACACAGAGAAGTTTTTCACACAGGAGCTTTTGCACAAGAAAACTTTTACACAGGAAAGCTTTTACACACAGAAACTTTCACACACAGAAGCTTTGTACACAGAGAAGTCTTTGCACAGAGGAGCTTTTGCACACAGAATCTTGTACACACAGACGCTTTCACACACACACAGGAGGTTTTACAAACAGACAACTTTACGGCGCACAGATTTTTTACACAGAGCAGCTTTTACGCAGCGAAGCTTGTACACACAGGGGGCTTTTTTACACAGAAGCTTTTACATAAGGTTTTTTTAATACACAGAAGCTTTTACACACAGAAACCTTTACACACAGAAGCTTTTACACACAGAAACTTTTACACACAGAAGGTTTTACACACAGAAGCTTTTAACACAAAAAAACCTTTAAACAAAGGAGCTTTTACACACAGACGGGTTTACACAGAGAAGTCTTTACACACGGAGGCGTTTACACAGGAAAGAGTTTACACGGAAGCGTTTACACAGAGTAGTTTTTACACAGAGAAATCTTTACACAAAGAAGTCTTGACACAGAGAAGCTTGCACACACAGAGGCTTTTACACACAGAAGCCTTTTACACAGAGCGGCTTTTTCACAGAGGAGCTTTTACACAGAGGAACTTTTACACAGAGAAGCTTGTACACTCAGAGGCTTTGACACAGAGAAGTCTTTTACACAGAGAAGCTTTTGCACACAGAAGCTTTACACAAACAAAACCTTAACACAGAGGAGCTTTTACAGACAGAAGCTGGTACGCAAAGAAACTTTCGCAAACAGAAACTTTTACACACAGAGCGCGTTTTACACAGAAGATTTTACACACAAGAGCTTTTACACCAAAAACCTTTACACAGAGAAGTTCTTGCCCACAGAAGCTTTTACTTGCAGAAGCTTTTATGCAAAGAAGCTTTTGTACAGAGAAGTCTTTACCCATCTTTTATCATGTCTCATTTTTCATGATCATTTGCCATCTGTCACCTTCATATATATCTTCGTTTTCATGCTCTTTTGGTCAGCTCCCTCTGTCGTTTAATTTTCATTTCGTTCTGTCCGTCCACGCTTCGTGCTCGCTCCCTCTGCGGCGAAGCAAACTAAACGAGAACGCAGAAATAGATAGCGACTAGACAGATGGGATAGAGTTAATTACATTAACAGAAATAGCGACTAGAAGACTGTAGGCGTAGCTGACACAGCATGCTGTGGTGAATCGTGGCCCCTGATACCATCAGTGCGCACGATGTTTAAGTAAAGATCTTACGTCGATTTCGTGCAGAGCACAGCTGGCCACACCCCAAGATTTTCAAGAAAAGACGTGCTGTGTGCCGTCTTGCTTTTGGGTTCTCTGGCCCACCTTGTTTTTACAGCAAAAGAACTCGGGGATCCAAACATCTCATGAGGAATTGATCTGTGAATTGCTGGTGGATACCCCGCTTAAAATTGCCGTTGAATGAGGACATATTTTTAGTCATATTTTGAATATGACTTGAACATGACTATTGGATTCTGGGGTTCCCTATTCTGAGACAAATTTAGAAACACCCGATTGATGATGGATAGTAATTAACCCTGAGTTAAACTTAGGAACTGATCAGATTGGAGGGTTTTCCATCTCAGTCTGAGAAGTTGATATCTTCAGAATTCCCAAACCGACCCAGTATTTTAAACAAATTACTAGATATGAAATTAGTATCTTAACATTCACAATGTATATTCACTTATATCAGTTATCTATATCTGTTGAGTCACTTAAGTCATCTACATATCTGTTGAGTGGGGGAAACCACCTATTTAATGAAGCCAATCGATGATTTGACCCGACCCACGCGTCACCGGCAAGTTCCGAGCGTCAAGATGATCAAATGTGAGGCCGCTCTTCCGTTGCTTCCTGGGAGGGTCACTGGTCATATGAGGGGCGAGGGTAAGACATCTAAGCGGATAAAACTTGGATTAACTTACTGTAGCTGGTTCTGTTTTGATTAACCAGCAAAAGCACAAGCGAATTGAGAGTTCAGGAAGGGAATAAGGATCAGAAACCTATGTGTCCGTCTTATTAAACCCCTTTTGGGGTTGCCTTGGGGGAAAAAGCATCGTGATTTACTTACGACACATGGGGCTAACCCCTCTTTTTCCACAACCCAACCAGTAGGAATCGATTGGAAATGGACGTCTATGGGTCAACCGCCCTGACATAATTGTGGGCCAAGCATTGTCAAACCAGCTGCGTGTCCAAAATCAACTGTATCAACAGCAGATGGTTCCGCACAAATCTACCATCTTGCAATGTTTACTGGAGGCCATGCCGGATATGCCCCAAAAAAAGCATATCCGCCTGATCGGTGGCTTGATCCTAGCTCCACCGCTCCACCGTTCGAGATCAACGCCCCAGCCCTACAGTCAAAGCATCCCTGGCGTGGTAGCGGTAGCGGCAAGATTCCGACCAACGGAGCGCCAGGGCAACCTACCACGATGGCGAGGGTCGAGGGTCTTAGAGTCTAAGGATGCGACAATGCGATGACATCGGGCAGCTAGAATGATTGAAAATGTGCCAGTGTCCAACTTGGAAATCAGAATTGCCGGTGTTGAAAGCATCCAACAAATTGTCCCCAGATGGTGAGGACGGAGTCCCCACGTTGTGACATAGATAAACGCGAAGTACAGGGGCTTTAACGCGTCACAGAATAACTCTGAATCCGGAGAGTGGCGTACATTGGGTTTTCCCCCTGGGTTGACACACGAGCCCCCTAAAGCATCCTAAAACGTCTTTTCTGTGGACATTGCCCCCGGAAATGCTGGAGATAGGAGGATGGAACAGGAGAATGGAGAGCACATAAAAACGCACAAGAATGATTACTTTATAACATCATTTAAACAAAACATATCATGAATAAAACATATCATAAACAGAACCCATCAAACGCAATGTTTCTTCGTTAATACGTTAAATCACCATTCTTGCTGGCTGAAACTGCCACTCTCAGGCTCCTACTTTGTCCCATGCCGCGCTGTCGCTCGAAGCTGCCAGAGACGACAGCGGCCAGCCAGCAGGGTCACCATCACAACTGGTGGGACGAAACCACTGATTCAACCGATTCCAATGATTTTCTGCTCAAATCTGCTACATAATCAGTGTAATCTGAATTGGATTGAATTTGGGTTTATCCCGCATACGATCGCACCTGAATTGTGATCAATTTAATCTGAATTGTGGTTTGTATCCCACAATCGCACCAACGAAGTGTTTCTTGGGCATATGGGTATGGCGAATACAACCTGAGATCCTAAGATCATAGGACCCAACCTGGGAGCAATCTACAGCTGCAGAGTGAGATCCAACGACAAGGTTAAAGTCCAAACGCCTGGTTCACTGTAGGGTCTGTGGCTGTATCCACACTGATGCAACCTTCTCACAAAGCCCCTTGTTCATAGCCCATTTCATAGAACCACAAAGCAGTTCTTCATAGTTTTTGCCATCAAACACTAGTCACCAATGGAGGGGATTCCTGCTACAAAAACCTTTATCAATGACCAAAGATATAACTTAACCACACATTTCCAGGATGGTATGGAATATAGATTATACATTATGAATTTACCCATATAAATTATAGTTATGTCTATACCAATATATAGATTACGATTTCAATTTCTCCAGAATTTCCAGATGTCCAGCTTGTCTATCTTTAGGGCTTTGCAATTCTGGGATGACAAGCTCAGCTATGGCATCAGCTGGAGCCTCTGGAATCTCAACAAATCTTAGTGTTGCGGCATTGCATCTTGTAGATGTAATTAGATGTGCAAATAACATAAAAAATAAGCCTGTCCTAATTACAGTATCTATAGCTTTTTACTATGGTTTACTGTGAAAAAAACCTCTGAATCTGAATCTGTTTTGGTCTTGGGGAGCCGCAGCTGGGCATTTTGACTGATCTTCTCAGGATGCGCCGACGGACGCGACGGACGGTGACGGACCTTCTGCCCGCGACGGTCCCGCTAAGGTGCGCCACATGGCTGGGATGACCCGGTTGGGGGTTGGGATGACGGCCAGGAATCTGAGGAATCTGTCCATGGTGGCATGGCTGTTGGCTATGCTTAAATGCCCGGCAAAGCTTAGACTGTTGCAGCTTGAAGTGGCATGTTGATGTCCCTTGGTCTAGATGGAAAAGGAATCAAGCCATCAACTGAAACACGCCAAGGCTAAATAGCCAGACTTAGAGAGATTTAGTGTATCTCCCATCCATTTTGTTGACCTACAAGCATGGCTCCTAACCAGCCCAAATGCTCATTCCTTGTGAATTTTGGCGCCTGGTGAAAGATTGCCGTCCCAGGTCTCAGTTCATCCAGTCTCTCTAGATCACTGATTCGATGTTCAACAGGGACATCAACCAATTTTCAACGGAGAAATTCTCAATAACTGGATGGTTGTCCACTGCTATGATGCATGTTGCTTTTTGCGGCTAACGACGCCCATAGCCATAACTGAAACCCGAAAAACACAAGCAGCGTGGATCACCGGCGCGAAAAGGACAGGCTGTCGCTCATGCATCGCATGGCTTCCCGCATCCATCCTGGATCACCGGTGATATGATACCGTTGCATCAATGCAATGATCACAAACAACACAGCAATAATCAATAATAAGTGTTGTCATTCTACAGTATGATACAGTGACTCATTTGATGGTCATGCCTTATTCAATTGAACCAAATACATTCAGAAACACAATAACACTTGTCGTAATTTATAAGAGCAATATATGTGCCTGTGATTATCATGCCCCCCAAACAAAATAAAAACTATGGAGGTGTCCTAAAATGGGGTACCCCAAATCATCTAAAAATCGACAATTGTAGTATGACACCCCACATCACTATACAACCTATGGTGTCCTATTCTAGTCCCATTCAACCCCTGTAAATCCCTATGGTTTGGGGGATACACCATCTTAAGGAACATTAATATAATAACTATAGTCATGACATGTCATGAACCACGAAATGGGGACTTACCAGGATTAGGAACTGGTTATATACCCAGTATCCATATGGGGGTTTCCATAAATCGGGCTACCCCCAGTCATCCATTTTAGATTGGGATTTTCCATGGTGAACCATCCAGCGAGCGACCGGGGTAGCCCGGGTTTTCAGGAACCCACCAGAAAGATGGTGACAAATCACTATAAAACCTATGATGTATTCTAGTCCCATTCAACCCCTATAAATCCCCCTATATAAGTCTTATAAGCTGACAAAATCACCATAAATCACCAAGAACCAACTGGGCAAAGCTCCGCCGAGTCGCCTTGTGTTCCTTGTAGAACTTCTCCTGGAACTTCGCCACAGGAGAAGCCCTCAGTGAGGAGATTTGGATAGGAAAACATGTGAAACAAATGGAGATTCCACCGGGAAAACCATAGCTTTCTGTAGATTTTCCCTTCAACCAATCCAGTGATTCATAGGCTTTTTCCACACATGTTGATTATATGTTCATAATTTTCCAGAATTCGATGGGAAGATTTTACAGGAAAAAAACATGTTGTTTATTTGAAGAAAAAAGGTAACACCACCCGATAGTTTCTTGCAGACTTTCCCTCAAACAATCCCATTGAGAAATAATTTGAAGTAACCAAATATGGACAATCTCAGGATTTGTTGCAGCGGTTTCATGTAGGTTTGCAAGATCCTTGATCATCCAAAAAGAAGGCAATTAAAGCAACAACAAGGAATTGCAGGGACAACAAATGAAAGTGGGCTTTTGCTGCTGGTTTTGCTCGGGATTACAGGACGCGAAACAGAACAGGAGTTCAAGCAAGAAGGAAGATTCATGCATGTCTCTCTCGAGTTTTGTATATATATTGCATTCTGGATATTCCATACCCTCTGGTAAACTAACGTAACTATGGAAAATCACCATTTTTAATGGAAAACCTCACTATAAATGGCCATTTTCAATAGTTATGTTAGTTTACCAGAGGGTAATATTCTTACACAACAGCGGCTGGGCAGTGGTGGACGTGGCCGGCCCATGACAGGCCCACACTTTGGACATGTCATCAGTATGTCAGCAGCCTAATACTGATCATCTCATGTGGTCTCAAGGGGAGATTTACCCTCTGGTTATGTCAAAATAGCTATTGAAAATGGCCATTTATAGTGGATTTTCCCATTAAAAATGGTGATTTTCCATAGTTATGTTAGTTTACCAGAGGGTATATATGTCCACTCATTTTTTCCTGAGATCATAGTTTACTGTACCATTGGAAATAAATCACCCATATAATTCAGAAACAAAAAATACTCATTCTGATTTTATGATCCAGAAATAGATGAATCCGAGGTAGATCCATATATTTCCACTCAAGCATGAGACATCCAACGAAAGATTTAGAAGGGTCTTGGACCATGGAACGATAGAAACCAAGCGACGAAGTGAGCCCTGGGAACCACTCGGGGTTGGAGTGGATTCCGTCCTGGCTCAAGTGGTCCTTGATTGGGATACTGTAAGCCACATAGAACTGAATTCGAATATTTCAAGATGTTTCAACATGAACATAGCCATGGTTCTACACCACTTGTTCTTCGGGAAAGGGGGTCCAACTGTGCATGTCCAATGAAACATGTTGCTGCTTTTGGCAGTCCAGGGTCACCAGAATGCCAGAATGGTTCCTCAAGCTTTCCATACAGGATATCAGTGCCGTATCTCAAGTTGTCCAAAACTTCTTGGTTATTCTTTCTGTGCGGGCCCCACTTGAATCATGATTCTGCTTGGAAGTCATGTTTGAAGCTGGTCGGAACCAAGACCTTGAAAAACCAAACCACACAGAAAGCCATCGCCTACCCCACCTCAACACGCACCATTCACCGCACCTACTTGGACGATCTTGGATGCACATCCCATCTAATTTGGGTGGTAACCCATGTGCTGTACCCCACAGAACTGGTGATATCCCGTTTTTTTCACCCGGCGTATATCACCCAGTTGATCAACAGGTAGCCAAGGTCCCGCCCGCCTGTTTTCTGGTGAACCCAGAAATCTGCACACATATCATCATATATCCACCTGGCCTCTCTCTCTATCTATTTAAAAAATCTTTATGACATGATATTCCCATATATATATATATTATATATTTAAATATATATATATATTATATTATATATATATATATATTTATTCCCATGTTTTTCAGCTGGTGTCTTAGCCCCCAAAAATGGGTCCCCCAATGTGAAAGCCCGTCCTTCATGGCCCACTGGATGACCTTGTAGCAGTCCGAGCCCGGCTTCGGAATGACACAGGGCTCCAGCTCCGCCTTACGCGTCTCGGTGCCCAAATAAGGCTCCACCGTCTCCGTCTCGATGACGTTCCCTGGCGGCTGGGGGCAGCGGCTGGGAATGGGCCCGGGATAGGGTTGGGGATAGGGTTGGAACAGGTTGGGATGGGATTGTAATTGGGATGGCAACAAAAAATCGACAAATCATCGGAAAAAACTCATAGGCCAAAGAATTCATGGGAACAGCATGTGCCAATTTACCATGTTATAATAGGTTATAATAGCCCCAACCTGGTTTTTTCACCTCGGGCGATTTAGGCAACTGGGAGCCGGCCTCTCCAATTGATGGATTCAATCTTGATGGACTCCTTTGTCATGGTGAGATCGAAGAATCCATACCTCAGCGCATCCACATCCTACAAGGGGCTTCGCTGAACATCCTACAAGGTGAGAACCCCTAGATAGGTAAGTTGACTTATAACTTAGCTCAACTGGTTGGGCTTATGGGAATTTATGGGATATATATATAATCATGATTTGTCACATATAACCATACTAAAACGACTAGACTATAATTATCCTTTATATATATACTAACCACTAACTATATACTATGATTAATATTATATAGATCTGGGTAAATTATAATATTTCACTAACCTGAATCTTGCGGCCATTTGGGGATGATTCCCCTCATTAACCATGATTTCCAGTGAGGGAGAACAGTGAGGTCGTTATAATTTACCCAGATAGATATACTATTAATTATCCTATATATACTAACCACTAACATCCACTAACTATATACTATGATTATCTATGATTATCTATGATTAATATTATATAAATATACTATCTAATACTATCTGAATCGCTAGTGGCTTGACCAACCCAACCGACTCGCTTTCAAAGGGCTGATGGTCGTCGGGGTTGTCCACCTCCACGTTGTTCTCCGAGGTGATGCCGCCGCCGCCGCCGGTGATGAAGCACTTCAAACCTCCCAACTTCTCCTGGCTGTCCGTGGCAACGTGGCTGTCGTAAAAAAGGGGGAAAAACGTTGAAAAAAATCCAACATCTGATAATCTGATGTGGATTTTTTTTGGAAAAAATATGATCTAACGGAAAAATATCATGAGTGATTTATATGAGTGATTTATAGGAGTGGCTGAGTGGCTGCGGTGAAAATTTCCGCCACCGGGGGCTCAATCATTTATATGATGTATAATGATGTATATGGAAAGATTGTGGAATATAGTGGGGATGTGCAACTAACGACACGGTGATTGCGATGATTGGTTCAGTTGGGAATATATTAACTGGAGGCCATGGTATTGTTTAGCCGAATATCGAGGTTTTCTGCAGTTTTTGTCCTTAAACCAATAGTGGGAATTAAGCTCAGGATGATTTTGTCGTTTACTTACTCCAGCATGGCTACACATGTGTAGCATCATTGCAAGAAATTGTTGTCATGAGCTGCGCCGCCAACAATCACCTAAGTTCACCTACAACATATCTTCACATGGCCACGGCCAATGATAAATGATCCAAAATACCAATAGGAAAACAAACCTGAAGTCCGTCCTTGCGCGCACATGAGCAACATTCATTTTGTGATGTCGTTGTCACAAGCCATCTACATCTATCATCCCATGTCCATCACCCTCAGCGATTCCGACGAGCATCAGGAGACCAATACATCAGCTGATAATGGGCATGGCCCGTGACCAACAGATCCAGACCATACTTCCTCAGATCTCATGTCATGGCTGTGCCGCAGAATTGGTACTGTGCTGGTTGTTTTCACTGGGAGCTCATGGCAAATTGAATGGGAGAACGATTTGATCAACAAGAACGACTAGTACATGGGGCCACTCGTGGTGACGGGTTGTTGGCAACGTTCTTCACAGTTAGCGGACCAGAAGATTCAAGTACGGCAGTGGTTGCCCTATCCATACACAATCCGGCGTCCCACCCTGGTATTGACCATCATTTGGCACAGCACACTGACAAGTTTATCATAATTCTAGACCTAAATGACCTTGCCAAGCCAAAGGGGTCCATGTTAGGAACTTTTTTTTTTCACATTTTTTTCAACACCTGGCAGACCTGGCATGTTTTGGCGCAGCATCAAGTGCATCTCCTTGTAAAACTTCGTCTTGTGACCGCAAGGGAAGTGCGTCACCTCACACCAGGTGGGATCCTCATGATCCCAAACAGTTGGCCTACCTCTAATAACAGCAAGGACTTGGCTAGCCTTCACTGCTTACCCTCTGGTAAATTAACATAGCTATTGAAAATGGCCATTTATAGTGGATTTTCCCATTAAAAATTGTGATTTTCCATAGTTATGTTAGTTTACCAGAGGGTATAGTGATTGCTTAAATCACTGCTTGACATTCTGCAAAACCAGACCCCCAACAAAAACATACAAAAACGCTGTCATAAACGGTGTCATGAGTCATAAATGGCCACATCTTTAGGCCAAGATCTCTCACAAGAATCAGACATCGCAATATATAGCTACCCGCTACCCTTTGGTAATGTAACAACATAGCTATGGCCCTATATCATTCATTTTTACTGGGTAATTCGACCATCGCAAATTCTGAAATTATTAGAGGATAACCATCATACATTCCATTACATAAAATCCCACGAAATCCCATTTAACCCAATTAAACCCAAATCACCCAGTTGAATCCCATTAAAACCCCATTAAAATCCCATGAAACATCCATTTAGTCCCATTAAAATCCATTAAACTGAACATCCCATGGAAAATCCCGTGAAACATCCATTTAGTCCCATTCAACTGAACATCCCATGGAAAATCCCATAGAAAATCCCATGAAACACCCAACATGTCAGGGTCTGTCGTATCGAGGCGCCATGATCTGCCAATCCGCTTCCGACTTCTGGAGCTTCTCAGTGGCCCAGGTCGCGCCCTCATCCTGGCGGCGGCGAACACCGTTTGAACCATGGGAAAATTCAGATGTTTCAACCATGGAAAAAGTGTGGGAAAACAAAGAAAACCATGGGAAAAGTGTAGGAAACACAGAAAACCATGGGAAAACCATGGGACATTTATGGAAAACTGAGGAAAATGTGGATATTTTGTGGGACAATTTTAGGCAACAAAAACCATGGGATGTTGGGGGGAACCCCGTTGTTTCAAACCAATCTCTTTGTAGAAAAAAAGCAGGGTGAAACTGGATGATTTATCCCACTCTGATGAGTTCTCTGCCTGGGTGCAGTGACCTTTCATCATTCATCGCGGTAAAAAACTCCGGTGAACATCTGAAACCTGAAAGCACTATCTTCTCCTTCCGGTGTGGAACAGTTTCAACAAACTGGACAGGCCCAGTGTGGCCATGTTGATCATATTGGAGTTCCAGTCCGGAGCAACCTCCCTAAGTCGCCACAGGTTGCTACAGCCAAGTATCCCAGAGTTTCTGGAACCAGTCGTGACACGACTCGATACTGGATGGACCACCAATCCTTACAAGAGCAGAGCGAATGTCATCATGGCTGACTTCTGCACAGCTGCCTGCAGGATTTGTCAAATATATCATCAACCCGGTTTAGGTGTGTGATATGAACATGCACGGGAAATTTGAGATGGCGGACGATGGTGCCTTTGCAGAACCTCATGGATTTCTGATGTGGTGAAAATTCTGTTCTGGCGGAAAATATGTGATAGCCTGCCTAAAAAGAAATATGTGTGCATACAATTTTGTAGAATAGCTGTGCATGTAATAAATGTGTAGGCATGTAGGGTATATACATAGTAATTCTATGTAATTTTTCTTACATCGCATGTGTAAAACAAAGAAATTCCCACATAAATCATCAAAGTCATCATAAATCCATACCTTAAGCACTTCTCTCCAAGCATCTTTGCACAACTGGAGCCAGGAGGATTGTGCAACTTACCACCTGAGTTTCCCAGCGACTTACTTCACCAGCCAGGACCTATTAACCCACATTGAATCGTAGGTTGTGTGGGTTGTGTGGCACTTTTTTTTGCGGCTGAACCGATGGAAGCACCTCACTGAATCATCATGTCTTGGTTTGATTTCCCCAGCAGCAGGAGTCAATGGACTCGGTCCGCCCATGTTGCCCAAAGTCTTATTCGGATGCTGAATGATACTGAACACAGGTGGTGGTATGTTTTGGAATAGTTCATGGGAATATCCATGGAATATCCACTGGCATCCACGGTATTCCCATCAACGGTTGGTTCATCCTCCGGATCCTTTAAAAAGGGTCTATCTGAAAATCAGCTGCCCCCCCAACCACTGGATGGAATCGGGTAGGATCATCCGACTCGGTCAATAACTTGAGTGATCGCATATCGAGGTTCCGAAGTAGGTTATCCAGTCATCCCATTCATAAATTCGAAATGGATGAGTCATTGCCAATCTTAGATACCCTACCAAAAATAGTTGGCTGGCATATATATATATATATGATATATACATATTAAAACATTAAGGTTTTTTTTCACTACCCATCCACTTGACCTCTAGAAGTACAGTATATGGTTAGATCATGTTAGATCCATAGATCCTCCAAGCAGAGCCTGCCGCCTGGTCCGACGCCGGTCCCAGGTGCAGATGTTGTGCTCAGGATTCGCGGAGGTATCTTCGTCCGCATCCTCGATGTTCGAATCAATCCTCAGCGCGCCGGGATGGAGCCGAGGGAACCAAGAAAAGTCTGGATTTATGCAACATACAAGATATAATATAATATATATATATATATAATATATATATATATATACTGTATACTGTATGTATACTATATACATATATGTATATATATATATGATATTATATACTATATGATATTATATGTATATAATACTATATATATATTATATTCCTATTATATTGTATATTTAGATATTATCATATATTGATATAATGAATTGACCAGTCTGTTTCCAACAAACATCTGGACAAGATCGAGAAGGATAGTTCATCCCTACAAGCGAATCGTTGCTAAGGAATGTTCTGAAATTACTGGGCGCGCATCTGTATTTTACATGATTTTACCAGCACAAGTTCTGATGTTTAAACCAAAAAAACGGGGGGTGACAGTAAAAATCGAATAATTTCAGATCCCCAAATCTGTGATATGCCGTCATCCCTGTCATCTGCTGTCCTCAAGACGCAGCCATGAGTTTTCGCCAGTGAAAATCAAGAAAATCAAAGCAGCGGAATTTAAACCATCCTTCGGTGCCACCTAGTGGGGACATCTTCTCATATTCCAGCATTCCTGCTGGTGGGGTCACCAATGTTTGTTTGAACCACCATCATTGCTGGTTAACTCCCAAATTCGTGTTGGTTAAATCCACCATTTTTGTTGGTTAAACCATGGCTTCAAGCCACATCAAAATCTCCACCGTAAAGCCCTGGTCCACATAGTCCACTGTCTGCATCCAGTAGGGCGCTGGCAGCACCCATCGTTTGCCTTGGGAAGAAGCTGCGCAAGGAGCCGCTTGCGGCTCAGGAAGCAGTGGAAGTTACACTCCGATGTCAACATGGCAAGGGGAAATCCCCTAAAATGGAGGTTTTATGAAAAGAAAATCATCTGTAAATGCTGGATTGTCCAGCATTTACCATGTTTCATTCACCCATTTCGGGCGGGGAAATGGCACGAATCACCAACTTTGGTGTCGTTCTTGATGGTTCAACCCCACTTAGTGTCATTAAATTACCATTGTTGGTGCTTAAATCCATATTGTTGATGATTAAATCATGTTAAATTACCATAAATTACCATTGTTGATGGTTAAAAAAAGAAACTCCCAGTTTTTTTCATCCCATCATTTTTGTTCCCATGGTTTTTCTGCTTCAAATTCAACCACCCTTGGTGCGGTGCCCCCAAGTCACTGACCCAGGTGTAGGCAATCTGTTGGTCCCAGGCTGCGTCCATCTCGCGGCCTCCCCAGTCGTGGTTTCCCAGCACCGAGAGCCAGGGCTTGCCGTCCAGGCCGGGGCCCTTGTAGACGTTTTCGTAGATCCTGAAAGGACCGTGTTTGGCTCCCAAAAAGGTCCGAAAAAATGGACATTTAACATGAATAATGGGAAAACCATAGGAAAACCATAGGAAAACCATAGGAAAATGGAGGTTTACCCTCTGGTAAACATACAAAAAGCTATTGAAAATGGTGATTTATAGTGGATTTACCCATTGAAAATGGTGATTTTCCATAGTTATGTTAGTTTACCAGAGGGTAACATGAAATGGATATGGTTCACATGCTTTCACCAAGAAAACTTGGGACGAACATGGTGATAACATGAGAATTCATGGGGGTTATAGCTGATTTATGATAGTTTAGTTGGTGAACATGACTCCAACAACTATGGTGTATGTTGATTTGTGATACTTAGAGCCATGGTTTTCATGAGGATTATTAATCAACTTATAATATTTATAACTGGGGGGGCACCTTTTGGATGTGCATCCCAGTGAATGTTGGTAAAGCAAGGTCTTAAACCACTTATATAAATTGATGGATTCAATCCCACCCATAGAAATGGGAAAATTGAGGATGATGGATCCTGTTGCTTTACTAATATTATGGGACATGGGATAATCTAGTTAGTTACCGGGTACAACCGTAGTCACTATGGAACTTACTAGTGGCAACATACCACTTGCTAATTGGCAACCATAGTTCTAACTTGTAGTTATAAGCCATTCATAGGATAGGCCAGTTAGGTGGATATGCATCCCTGTAAGGGATTTATGATTTATGTATATAAGCCTAATATAAGCCATATTAATAATCCTCACATAACTAAGTTATAGAAATAGTATATACCTTCACCAACAAAAACCGATAAAAATAACATGTTCAAAGAAAACCCGATGTTTTGGGGACAAACCCGATGTTTCCATTTTTCATCAATTTCAGGATTTCCCAGGATGTCTCCGCAACCATTTTCCAGCACACTGGTGGTGCCCCATTCGACCTCAATGATCCTCGGCTTCAATCCAGAGGGTGAACATGGGTGAACTGTTCAAACAAATTGAAGTTCTATAACATGTTTCATGGTTAATAAATATATACCACATATCACCCACCAGTGCGAACCAAATATCGCAGCCTAATGAAGTGCGCATATGCAGATTGAAGATATCTGTCCATGATTCTATGCAATACCGGTGCTTGCGCAGTCACACGCCTTGCAAGACGTGATGGTCTGCCGATGAAGTCTTCAGATGGTTGGCAGCTGGTGGCCAAACAATTGAGTCCCATAACATTTTTTTGGTGTGCTGCATGCAAATCAACCATAAAGTGTTGGAGCAGGTGTACCTTTGGTTGCAGTACAAAGAGGCAACGTCCCATTCTTTTAGAACAGGTCGCCAACTGTCCATAACGGCGTAGGAACTTAAATCCCAACTCAGAACACAACTTGCAAAGCTCTGGATTTAGCCACATAGGAGACCGGTACAGAATCCTGGAAAGATCTTGAACTGCAAAACATGCTTCAGCAGTCATTGTCAAAAGCTCGTCATCTGGAAAAGTCTGACTCCGAAATACTGATTCAATGTATTCCATCATCACCGTTGACAAACCTCCTTTGTGCCACTGCGCGCTAGGAAACTTTGAGTTCACTTCCCAACCAATTGATTCCTTGGTGATTTTGGTACAGTATGCGCGTCTGGAATGCGTGTGACACCAACTGCGATACTTTCTCGTGAAAGCACTGAAGCGTTCATCCTTGTTGCCATACGGCTCCAATTCAGTCAACATGGCGATGGCTGACCCCACAAAATTTCTAATTACCCCCAAGTGCATTGTGTGGAACCAATCATAGGTCCAGAAAGCCGCTTCCTTGCCCTCTTCATGCAGCAGGTGTTCTGTAAAGGGTGATGGTTCCGCAAATGGATCCTGAGTGAATTGAGTAGGAATCCAACTTGGTCTTCGGGTTTCCAACTGTTCAAACGGAACATCAGGTTGACCACTTCGACACAAATGGCAAATGCCAGCAGGAGCACGGTTAATCCTCAAGCGCTTCTGAATGGTGTTGAAAGACCTAGTAAATGAGCCAGATTTGTGTAGAAATGGCCAGTCACCAGTCATAGCCACAACTATTCCCCAGTAGCGCACTCCCTGGGTGTTAGCAACACCTGTCTTCCACATGAATCCACCATCTTCCGCAACTGCAGTCATCAATGATGGCCATGTGTCGCTATTTATATCAGTGTAATCTCGTTTTCTCAAACTCACCAGCATGAATCTGTTTGAATACGTGTGGCCAGCAAAGTTGTTTTGCATTTTCGCCCAAACCTTGCATGATTTTTTTTGATTGGCAAATCCTTTTCCAAAGATCGAATGGAACGACATCACAAAGTGTGCACCATGCTTGCGCCCCCGGCCCTCATCCCCGTGCAACAATATAGGTATTGCCCTGTCGAGGCAAAGAGTACCTTCGGCAGCCTCTTTGAATACACCATGGTCAGGATGCAGTTTTTGCCAATTGGCCCAAAAAGCCTTGCAAATGGCCTGTTCTCTCTGAGGGTGTGGTTTCTTGAGGCCATGTAGGATGTGCAAGCAAGAATTCTTGGCAAAGAATTCAAACCAGTGCTGGATCTTCAGCATAGAAATTTGTGTGTCACTTCCTAGGTGGGTTTTTTGCACAGGCAATGCTAAACGAAACTTTTTCAAGAGCACCTGTTGGCAGTCCCGCTCTGGATTCCGAAGATCACATTTTGAGACATCTAATAGCCCTCCAGACTTTGAAGCGGCCTTCTGGCCTACATCCGAAACAAAATCCCGGGCTGTAGCAATCGCCGAAGTGCATGAGGCCTAAGCCGGCCATCAATCACAACAAAGAATAACTTGCGCAGCAATTGGTAAAATGGATCTTTGATTTGTATCAACTCAATTCGATTAAGACTTGAGAAACTTGAGAGTATATAAAGGGTTATTGACACATCTTTGAACTGTGGCGGAACCCAAATGAGCGTGAGTAAACTAAACCTCGTAAGTACAGTGTCAGCATTCACCCTTTTGCACACGCAGCACGTGTTGAACACACATGTCATGCCATGCAACAGTTTTTTGTTGCAATCATTTTTTTTGAATTGTGGACCTGATCTTTCCTGGTCCGTATGGTGCAATCGGTGGTGGATATTTAAAGGACCTGTAGACGATATATGTGCAGCAGCGGCTTTCATCTAAGGACTGGAATGATGGGATGAGCACAGTGTCTCCTCCAGAATTGACATTTCGGCAGCCTGGCCTACCTGAGCGCAATGTTGGGAGATGTTTGGAGTGCTTCAGGGCAAAAAAAATGGCAACTGGTCCTTCTGTGCAAAAAAAAATAAATTCACTCTAAAAACGAAGAAACAAAGTCGACCATTGTCAAACCAAGATAAATTGAGACCAGATACCTTTGTAGACATCGATTAAGCAAGCTTCAAGAAATGCAGGACCATGAACTTCTGCAGACTCAAACAAGACTACCATATTGGTCCATTTGTCTCTCGAAAACTTGTAGCCGTAGAGTTCATTGTTCCATCGAAATACCGGGTTGTGTGAATAGCCGATCTTGAAAATCATTGGACAGTGTTTTGCAAAAAGCTTGTTCACTATGGACTTGGCATGGAGAAGGACTTTGCCTGCAGTAGCATTTGCTGGAGGGAGCTTGTACTCAAGAAAGCTGGTATCACCAGAAGTGATTCTATCATCCAAAGGCTTGTTCCCATCGATTGTCCCGACCAGTTTGCAACAGTTGGTTTGCACCCCACAAATCATTGGCTCGTCGCTGGTCATGACACCACATCCCACTGCAGGTACTGCAGCAGTGTCTTCGTTTCTCGACCATGGAAAGGGTCTCAAGCTTTCCTGGTGGCCACTGGGTTCTTTTGAAATTGGGATGCCCATGATAACAATAAAATTGATGATAGTAAAGATTTCATTTTTTGACATATCAACTCCCTTTTAAGCGCAACAAGTTTTGGCATATATACTCCATGGACTCCAAGGGTCATCACGATGAGATGTGAAGAGGTCCCAGAGTTCTTCATCTACACTCTCATCACTCATGGCTGCGCATTGAAATTGGAAGAAGCCAAAATGGCATGATAAACCCTTGAGCCAACACCGGCTAAGGTTGAACAGGTCTTGGGTTGTGGCTAGGTCATGTATAAGTTAAGCATGCTTTCAATCGTTCTATTTCCCCCAGAGATCAGGTTGAGCTCTGGACGCCATCACCAATTCGGCTGGCGAAGCCCTTGATGGTGTTCCCTGGCTTTGGACCTGGCCCAGTGTGTGTTGAATATCATACGCATATACTTGAATCAAACAAGACTGGTTGAAGAATCAAAGTTGCAAAACTGAATCAATCATGTCAGCTAACAGCCGGTTGGCATGCAAGCCTTTTTTCCCTCAAAGATTTCGCAACATGTAGCTGAGTCAAAGCTCAATCCCTGATTGCGTGTTTCATGTCGCAATCAGCCAACCCAGAATTTATGGACTGAAAACACTTTTAAGCGTGTTCAACAGCTCTGCCAAGTCTGCTGATACCAGTGTTTGATGAAAATACAACTCTACTAAATAGAAGCAACTAACAAAATATTCCAATCAACGGAAAGCATTTGCAGATGTGATTGGTCTATGAGCAACACGCTTCATTGTGTTAAGAAATTTGGTCAACTCCACGCCATGACCAAACCAACCATAGACCCTTGTGGCCTTTTGCTAGTCAAGTCGATCACTTATCCTTTTTGGCATTTTTGGTTTTCTTGGGGGGGGCATCATCATGATCATTGTTCTTCGCAGGTCTTTTGTTGTCACCCTTATCCTTTTCCTTCTTCTCCTCCTTGTCCTTTTTCTCCTTCTCCTTTGGCTTGGTCAGGGCATCGCAGTCCTTCCTCTCGAAGAACTTCTTTTGGTTCCTGCGCCATAAGTCGACTGAAGGGGCAGCAAAATAGTATACAACCCGGTGAGTGTATTTCAAACATTTTCAAACAATGGTCTGCGTATATATGTTTTCCATTTAGCAAAAGACACCACCGAGGATGATGATGTTGCGCCTTGTTTTCATCTCCGCTGCAACGGCCTTTGAGCACCTTGGCAAAACATGGCAACATGCAGGGCTTGGGTCAAGATATACATATGGAAGACCAATGTTATATTCACATGCTACTTCGGGTTTACAAATTGCAGATAAATATTTGGCTTTCTTACATAAATCTAGATGTTTGGTCTCAAGGAATTTTGGATCATGTGTCTGGGATTCCACACGCCAGGGTTGCATGTTTCATGGCATCTTCAGCGCCGGTGTAGAACCTTTGCAAGAAGGTGTTCCCAAAATTGAAGTAAACTATCATCCAGTCTTGGGGCATGAGTCACAATGTATATATACAAGTTGATAAACAGCGAAGCCTGGACAGCAAAGCCTCGTCATATAAGAAATTGTGACAAGTAACTTCTAGCCTTGTGCCTCCCCAATGCACCATTGCTCCTGGCACTTGTCATACTGCTGATCCAGGTTCTTGATCTCATTCTGGAGTGATGCAAGGCACCTTGGCAGTGACTTGAAGTAAGTGAAACAACCTATGAAGTGCTGGGATCACTTGGCCACTTCAACTGACGTGTTCTACCATCTACATATGTCCAGGGTTACAAATATAATATAATATATATAGTATATATATTATATATATACATGTGGATCAAGATACTCTTTGGCTCCATCATCCTCCGAGAATTTTGTCTTCAATTCCTTCACCAACGATCTCAAACGGCCCGTTTTCTGCAGCATTGATTCCATGAACTTCTTGAACTTCTCTTTGGTCTGGCGTTGGTAAAGAGTAAACATAGAATGATGAGGGTAAATGTGAAACTGCAAATCTGCAGATACCAATTCACCAATATCAACACTAACACCCAATCCGGACCTGCCCAAACTTCGATTCCACTTCAGGCTCTTTGTCCGCAATGCGTTGCTTCTCCGAAGCATCCCGCTTCTGGGCAGCATCTAGGGCCAGAGACGACGTTCCAAAGGCGAACTGAGGGTCACCTTCGGCCTGGTTGAACGAAGGAATCAAACAATTGATGCCAAAAGGTTTCAGAGAACAACATATGATAATACAATTTTGTTCCAGCCTTGGCTTTCTTCTCATGGGTTTCCTCGTACGCAAGTGAGTCCTGTCTGCGACCTTCTTCTTTGATGATCACCCAGAACTCTTCCGATCCGTCATACATGTTGTGCCTTTGGAGTGGCATTGGCAATAAACTTTGATCAGTGATTGTTTTGGACCATGGGGCATGTTCCATATGAATCGCAATGACATTGGAAAGAGTTGTGTGAATAATTCTGCATGGACTATAATGGACTATATACAGTAAGACATCAAGCTGGCCTGAAATGCGAATCACCAAGCGCCTTGCATCTTGCTTTGGCACCGTCAATCTTGTTCCTTGGGAATGTGAAGTCACTACTTAGTTTAATAGTTTGCTGAAGACTTGGTGTTGCCAACTGGTATAGTTATTGTATGATGCAATTGGTTCATTGTCAACTGAGACATGCACTGCTTCCAACCAAAGTCAGAAGAGAGTTCCTGCTCAGAAAACCAACCTTCGGTAATGGTGACTTCCACCAACTTCTTCTTCTGCACAAGGATGCGCAGCTGGTTCACGAAGATCTCCTGGTTATACATGTCTAGAGATTCAACAATAAACTCATACACCTGTTAAGAGCAAACTTGATATCAAATTGTGATGGAAGTTCCAAATCAGTTCATGTTGAGAAGCCCTCTACTTTACGATGATGTATTTCCCAAATCAATCCTGGTTGAAGTTCACTTTGGAGAACACATCGGCAATGACATTTTTGTTGCCAGTTTCCCACTGCTCTCGAACAAACTCGGGTGCATTCAGCTCGACACGCTTGCTTTTGGGTTTGACCCATCTCGAAAGACGTGCTTTGGCAGCTCTTCGTAAGTCCATTTGCAAGGGTGACAAATGCAAGGGTGACAAACGTGAGAAATCCTATAAATCGATATGGTCGTTTCATGTCGTGTCCATCTATATATATTGCTAAATAATATACCTGCATGCTATATATGTGAATGCATTGAATCACCCAAGTTTGACCACGCCCATGGCCTTACGCTTGGTCATGCCCGATGTCAACGGTTCCTCAGGTTCCTTAGGTTCTGCAGCGGCACTTGGAGCACTTGGTTCCCTGGCACCATCCGGCTTTGGGTCAGGGACCGGTGTTGTTGCCTCACTCACTGGCGATGTCGCTGTCACTAGTGGTCCACTTGTACATGGTGTCTCCGGTTCTTCAAGAACTGGCGCTTGCACAATACTTCGAACAGGAGTTGGGACTGGATGAACTTGAGATGGTTGAACTGCCTGAGCCAACCATGCTGTGATAAAAATCTAGACATCTATCATTTTGGAACCATCAAAGAACAGTATTGACCAAACAAGATGTCGTGATATCCCTGACAGTGCCAAGTGATTGAATAACAGCACCTTCTGATGGAATGCTTCAATCTCCATTTCAGAGGCCTTGGCAATTTGGAGTTGTAAAGCAATTCAAAACATCAATGCGTTAATACCCTCAAAGGAAGTGTTCAATGCCCACAGCAATTGTTATTTGATGCACATGTATCGCAATGAGCAGCCATGATGTCCCATAAAGATTTGCACCAAGGTATTGGCTGGCACAGTTTCTTCTGCATCGCCAACACAAGGACTCTCGGCCTCAAGCACCGGCTGGTTTAGAAATGGCATTATTGAAAAAAAACTTAGTCTCTGACAGGAGTGGTAGGTTCTGGGTCAACCTTTTGACCAGCTTCCAGGTGAAGGTGTTCTATTTGTGCATCAACCTCCTGGCATTCGCACTTGTAGAGCCAATGAAACATTTTGTACTAGAGAGCAAAGGATATGCCCATTCGAGTAACCCAAAACAACCATGATAAGATTCACAGGGGTCCTGTAGTTCAAGTAGCAAGGATTGTTCCTCAGCATTATACTCCAGGTACTGCACACCATCATGGAAGGTACCACAGCTAATGCCAAGGGTTTCCGAACTCATGGCCAACCACTCTGGATGGCAATGGCTCCGATCTAAACCAAACTTCCAGACACCTTGAACCATCATGCAATCAACCAGTTGATTTTTGGAATTCTGCACATCGAACAAATGGTTGAGTTTGAACGATCCATGCATATTAATCAACTGACATCTTGCTGTTCGAATTCCGTGATCATTGCTATTTTTACCCACACGCCTGAAGTGCCAAAGGCATTTGTCAGAAGCCTTCGAATTGAAAGACTTAATTTCGATTGCAGCGGGCAATCCAGCTGAACAAACATCTGGTTCGAACGAGCTTTTGGTGATGCAAAACTAGGCTTCCCAGAGGTGTCCGAACCCCTAAAAAAAATTACGGGTTAGCACGGGTAAATTACGGGTTTGACACGGGTTTGGCACGGGTTTGGAAAACCTGATGTTTTAGTACAAACCCGATGTTTTCCATCCGAAATTAGGGGTTAGCACGGGTAAATTACGGGTTTGGCACGGGTTTGGCACGGGTTTAATTCCGAACCCTTTGATATTTTTGAAAAAAACAACATAATCTTACATAATTCGTGGTATGTAGTGCAAAAACCATCATTTGAGTCCGATTCCCAAGACACCATACCTGAGAAACACTAGGCATCCATTGCCATTGGAACTAAATGCTGCCAATCCTGAGGGATTTGCAACCTTTTACTTCGTCGTAAATAATTGAAAACATTTGGCAAATCGGCTGCTCGCCAAATTGTGGTATCAGCTTCCTTCAGCCAAGAAAAAGTCACTACACCTGGTGGTAGCACCTGTGGCAACTCAGGCTGACCCGAGCAGCTCGACTTCATCTCCTCGATCATGTCGCAGTACTCGCGAGCGAAAGGCATCGGATATATCCTGGGAAGCCGGATGGTTCGAATATCACGAAAGGTAGCTCCAGAGGGGCTACCTTGAGTTTTACTTTACGAAGTAAAGGGGAGGGCGGCCAGCCCCGTTCCCTGATTCTTCAGGAGATTGCTAGTCATTTTAGTAACCCCCCCCCCCTCCACACCTCCCACGCACCCTAAGAGCAGACTCAAAACATTGTAATTTACAGTATTTTTGTTCTTTTCGGATCAAGAAACCACATTTTGCTACATGGTGAAACCTCCGTAAATACCAGTGTTTTTGCTAGGTGCTGGCCAAAAAACACTGTAAATACCGTGTTTTTTACTACCAGAGGCAAAAAAACATCGTAAATACCGTGGTTTTGGGCTTCCGACCCGCCAAAAACATTGGTATTTACAGTGTTTTTTGCTCCGAGCGATGCAAAAACACGCGAACACACCACCGATTTGACGATTTTCGGCCACTACGGAACCGAGCAAAAACGCTGCAGGGGTAACACCAACACCGACAAGAACAACACCAACAGCAACAGCAACAGCAACAACAACAACAACGACGACGACAACAACAACAACAACAACAACACCAACCCACAACACACAACGCACAACGCACAACGCACAACGCACAAAGCACAACGCACAACGCACAACGCACAACGCACATCACACAACACACAAAACACACAACACACACAACACACACAACACACACACACAACACACAACACACAACACACAACACACACAACACACACAACACACACACAACACACATACAACACACACAACACACACACAACACACACAACACACACAACACACACAACACACACAACACACACACACAACACACACAACACACACAAGACACACAAGACACACACAACACACACAACACACACACAACACACACACAACACACACAACACACAACAACACATAACAACACACCACAACGCACAACAACACACCACAACACACAACAACACACAACAACCACAACAACCACAACAACCACAACAACCACAACAACCACAACAACTACAACAACAACGAATGACAACCATAACAACAACAACACACAACAACACACAACAACACACAACAAAACACAACAACACACAACAACAAACAACAACACACAACAACACACAACAACACACAACAACACACAACAACACACAACAACACACAACAACACACAACAACACACAACAACACACAACAACACACACAACAACACACAACAACACACAACAACACACAACAACACACAACAACACACCACAACACACAACAACACACCACAACACCCCACAACACACCACAACACACAACAACACACAACAACACACAACAACACACAACAACACACAACAACACACAACAACACACAACAACACACAACAACACACAACAACACACAACAACACACAACAACACACAACAACACACAACAACACACAATAACACACAACACACAACAACACACCACAACACACCACAACACACACACACACAACAACACACAACAACACACAACAAAACACAACAACACACAACAACACACCACAACACACCACAACACACCACAACACACAATAACACACAACAACACACAACAACACACAACAACACACAACACACACAACCACAACAACAACAACAACAACATCAACAACAACAACAACACCATCAGCAGCAGCAGCAGCAGCAACAACAACAGCAACAACAACAACAACAGCAACAACAACAACAACAACAACACGAACACAAACAATACCAACACCAACAACACGACCAACAACACCAACACCACCAACAAACCCAACCACACCAACAACACAAACAACACTAACAACACCAGAAACACTACCACCACCAACAACACCAACAACACCAATACCAACAACACCACTAACACCAACACCACCAGCACCACCAACACCACCAACACCACCAACACCACAACCGCCACTAACCCCAACCACATCGCCGAAGCCTTTCAATCGCTTTTACCAGACTCCCCTTCATATTTTTGGAAAGAAACTGGCCGCGTCGCTTTTGCCAGACTCCACTTTATGTTTTTTTCCCTGCCCTCTCCCCTTCATTTTTTCTTCGGTTCCTTTCTTGCTTACCTACCTTTCGTGCTCCCCCTCTCAAGTTTTTGTTCAGATGACACAACGCTTAATCGAAATTCCGAACTTGGAATATATCTGTCATATTCTGTCATAATATGTTGGTTTCAAGAATCTACTTGCTGAAGACAACATGCATATAGAATTAAAATTGTTGAATCCAGGAATCTCTGTGGACTTGAGACTTTTCGTACCTTTCCATCGTCGTTTGCCTTGTTTGTCAACATAGTGCTCAACAGTCTTATGGTCAGCTTTTTTCTTCCATCCCTGCAAAATGCCCTTGTCAATCTTTCGAATGGTTTTGGAATTCCCATATGCATAGTGGCGCTTTGGTGTAGGCGCCGAGTAATGGCACATCCACCACCGTACTGATTGTACCTAAGTCTTGGTTTCGAATTCCAATCAGCATTCCGAACAAAAGACACATAAATAACGCTAATTGACAATACAACTCAATAGAAAGCATTGGGACCCACACTGCAGTGGGCCCACCAATGTCGAAGATGTTACGGAGCATCTCTCGAAAAGATGGATAGTATTCAGCTAGTGACCCAGAAGGCTGCTCCAGGCTCCATGCACCTCCCAACGCCGTGGCCAATAGTATCATGAGGCAACTCCTGGCGAACAGGAAGTAAAGTGGTCATGGTATATCATTGATGCATGCATGTGTAAAAAGAATCTTATATTTTTTTTATTAAGTTGATTTTTTCCAAGATGAATGTTGTAATAAACATTCATGTGCATAGATTTCATTCCAATCCCTCTCCTTTCCATGAGAACATTGGATAATGAAACTGAGGGGTATGGCTCATATCCATATGGTGTACAAGCACTCCGCCGTGATGTTCCAACATTCACTTTACACCACGATGCGCATTTCATGCCCAGGTGGATGGCAAAGTCATTCTCGACCGTGCGCATCAAGGCCAGGGTGGCCAGCCTGAGCACGGGCACAAGCCATGTGGATGCAGGTAAATGGGAAATACGATGATGGTAATGGTTGATATCCAATGCAAACCAAAGAACAGAAACCCACTTACACTTGTCAAATCCATGTAGTTCGATCTTCTTGTGGTAGGTGGTTGATTGTCCATCAGGTCAAAACGAGCTGTTCTGTATCCTGCCGATGCCATCACAGTTGTTAAGTTTCCAGTCCCAGCGAAGAACTCGATGAAAGTATATACCTGACAGTTGGTGAATCTATTATTGAATCCAGCATTTGGATGTGGGATGATGTGGGGCTTGGGTGTTCCTTTGTTGATATGTTGATTTTGATTCATCATATCTTATCAACAAAAGATTGCAAGATCTCTTTGCAATTCATGCATCGAATCTACAACCAATTCTTTTAACTTTAGTATTCAATTGAAATTCATGTTGTTTCAAAACAATTTAATAAATGATTGGGTTTCTCTATAAATGATTTCTCTCGCCTCTGGGCAAGAGTACGTCCACAGAAGAAGGAGGATGATCATCACATACTCCTGGACAACGGGCATTCTCCAAGGCTTTATAGATAAGGGCTCGAATCTGAAACTGTATAGACAGAGAATACCAATAATGGTTATACTCAGTAATTTATCACATGTTAATGATCACTGGGCCCCTTAAATTATGAAGATGTCTCCTTGGGGACTAAGCTTGTAAAGACGCCAAAGCAGCGCATCAAGGTTCATCATGGCAATGAGCCAATCGTCAAACTGCAAATGCCACTCACAAGACCACGCAAAATGTATAGTGGAAGATCATATTGCAAATTCAAAATCTTTTTAGTATTCCAATGCATTCATGGCAATGCCTGTATATATGGTCTTTTATTTTTTTATCATCACACCAGCCCTAGAATGGCTGCGGGTCGATTTGAAATTGACAAATGGAATTTGTTTGCTTTGCCGATCAGAAGCACTTTCGAAATAGCAAATCGATGTGTGTAGCAAACATGTCTGGAATACAAGACTTCTTGAGATGCTTGACACGCTCTTGCCACAGGCTGCCACGCCTACGTAGACGCCACTGGCTTGACCTCAGGCACCGAGTGCATGGCAGTACATGCCAGTGGTGATCAGTGGTGGGATTCTAAGGATGTAATTTATGATGTAAAGGTGGTTCAAATCTAAGTGCACCAACTATATATATAAGTCAGTTTCTCTTGTAGGTTTCCAATGGTTTCTGGCTCCCAATGTGATGATGACGTTAAAGAATTCAGAATTCAAGATGGACTTTGGAACAGTGTTTTTCTAAGATCCTCTTCGAGATGTGACAGCCAACTTTTTTCTTTCGCGAAATCCTTGATCTTGGCATCTTGACGCAACACGAGAGCCATAGTCTTGGCAGAGAACGCAGCTGGTGCTATCAACCAACAACTGGAATGAACATGGCATGAAGCTATGCTTTGAAAAAAATCTTTTCGATTTCTAGAATCATTTAGGTAAGATGGCACTAATTTGTTGAAACGAGCAACCAGCTTTGATGTCTCAGAAATTGAACTCCTGTAAGATGGACTGAAAAGAATGACAGGCCAAAAATGCAGCCGGCTTCTGAGTGGTAGCGCGCAACCTGCAATCTATATACACCGTGGCACATGTGCATCCCCATGCAAGATGGTATCACCTTGCACCCCACACATTCACACAAAAGCGCATCGATATGCCTATGTTGGCGCAACCCACATAGCTAAGAGACACAAAACGAAACACTGCACTAGGATTCGGTGGACCATGACTTGGTCTCCATGATGATCACGACATCAGCAAAAATTTCTTTCAACTGCTCATACATGCTTTTCACAGCAGTGTTCTCTGTGATCTTGTCATCCTTCTTGACTCCTTTGCGCTGCTTCACTTCGTCCACAAAGCGTGCCTTAAGAGAAGCAGGGTGAGTGGATGGGAATTGGATAAATATACAAGTCAAACCTTTGAGGGAACAACAGACAGAAATATCTTGACACGACTCACCACATATATCATACTAAAAAATGTATATCCTTAACATTCCTTAGTTTTTTTTAAAAAGATATATTTGTCTCGATCATTTTACTGGGTCACTTTCTGTCCAAAAAATGATTTAAGATAAGGTACCAACATTTCAGCTGCTTTCAGTGCTGCTGCCATGCGAAATGTCTTGGACACATTGGCATTCTTGCTGGCGAAATATGCAAAGTCTTTCTTTTCCGCCCGGCATGTCAACCCCACAGCTGGCCGCTCATAGTAGACATTCATGCGACATGCATAAATGCTAGCCAACCGTCCCCTCATCAGCATCTTGGCATCCCATTCAGCCATACCTTTGAATCCCTTTGCAAACTTGATCATTTCCTTCACACGGCCCTGCCTTGTGTCTGGAATCGTGAGCGATTCCTCAACTGGATGTTCGGTTTCTGGTTCTTGGGGTGGTTCCTCTTGATCCTCCTGTTCCTCAGCTTCATCTTCCTGCTCTATTTTCTTGTTGGTTTTTCTGGTTCTCTTGCTTTTCGGTTCATGAGCTGCCTTTGCTTTCGACTTGGTGGCTTTTGACTTGCGGGAACCTCCATGGTTGGCATTCTCATCATTCTCCGATTGATCATCTTCCTGGGTCTCCAGTTTGCTAGATCCTTCATTGGCTTTGGCTTTCTTTGCATGACTCTTGGGTTTTTTATTCTCCTTGCTCTTGGTGGATTTCTCAACAGTTTCGGTTTTGGGAACATTGGGTTTCTTGGTTCGGCTGGGTTGAGGCTCGGCTGACTGAGCTTTCATCTTGGCAAGTTCTTGGAGCTCATGCTTGCTGCACTCCCCATCCCAGTATGCTGCGCTGTCCCAAACCCATGCATCATACTCCTCCCAACTGTCCCAAGACTGAGACCATGCCTGATCAGTCCCCCACGCTGCCCAATCATCCTGTTGTCCCTTGTTGCTGACGCTCTTAGCTCTTTTGTTTGTGGGGATCTGGTCATTGTTGCTTCGCTTGCTGGATGATGCTCGTGTTTCAGTTTCTTCTGGTGGATCAATGGAATCTTTCTGACCACCACGTCCTCTCCCTTTCCCTTTCCCTCTCCCTCGCCCATGGGGCCCACGCCCACGTCCTTTCCTTGGTAGATCCTCGCCCTCTTCACCCTCGTTGCCCTTCATTTGAAGTTGGTCCACCCGTGTCGTAGCTGCTCCTTTTGGGCTTGCCTGTCGGCAGGCTTTGGCGCACAAGACAAAAGATGAAATAAAAGTGTACAAATCGTCCGAAAGAATTTCATGGCATGATCATAAAACAAAACAGGTTGTCACATATTATCACAATATAGTTTGACCATCCCACAACCCAGAATCTAGCCTCTTGGTCGCTCGGCGTAAAAGCCCCATTTTGTGCTCCTAGTCCTTTTGGGGTCTTTCCTGGGACATTCTCTTTTGGGATCTTTGCATCCTTTCCTTGAACCTTCTCCTTTTCCACTTTGTCCTTGTCAACATCTTCTGACTCAATCACTTGATCATTTTTGGGTGCACCAGTGGGCGCTTCCCCCGAGTGTCCTGCGTGAGGTGTTGCAACAGGCCTCTTTGAGTGGAAGGTTGCTCTCTTGAGCTCCGCTGAATGGTCAGGCGAAAGAAACTCCTGGGATTCTCCTGCTGGTGGGCTGCATGCCATCACATCCACGGGCAATGTGTCCACAGTGTCCACTGAGACAGGAGGCTTTGAGCTTGAGCTCATAGTATTCTTCGTTTCTCCTGTCAGCGCGGACTATACTTTATCTTTTTTTTTCATGGTGAAATGTGTCTTAAAGTTCACTCATATTAAGAGTTCAAGAGAGAAACCGGTTTTTAATTCGTACTATTGCGTAATATACTTATAAGATCTTATAAGCACCTGTGAAAACTGATGAGCACGACCCCCACATGGTCCCAGCTTGTGCCTGGCTTTTCCAACGAATCCCCAAGATTTGCGTTGGATTTTGCAGCTCGAAGCCTGGGCTCGAGCAAGTTAGATTACCTCAACAATTTGAAAAATGCCGGTTCTAGATCATTTTTTGGGCTGCAACTTTCACCAGCTTAAAGTCTTCAAGCACCAGAATTACGGTGACACATGTAAGCCAAAGAACTTAGCCAATTTCTGCAAGACTTCAGCTTTCTTTCGCTGCAAGTCCTCCACTGTACCTTGATGATTGTAACTCATGAATGCATATTGAAAACGTATTCAACATATTTCAACATGATTGGTACATTGATTAACAAAAATCTGCAGTGGCCAAAACCGACAAAACTTCTAGAAAGTCAATGTATAAACGTTTTCCAATACTGTGGATCACACACCATACACCTCGATGCAACAAAGATGCTTTTTTCTGTTGATGCTGAACCCGCTGAACCCCCATGAGTGCTGGAACCACCGCCCTGAATCGAAGTTGAGATAGCAACCTTATCATCCTTGGGTTTTTCTTCGGGTTTACTCTGGTTAGTGACATGGTTCTCAACCTTTGAAGGGGCGTCAGGCTCTTCCTTTGATCCCGCTGGTGTGGACTCAGACTCTTCGCTTTCTGACTCATCTTCATTGTAGTCTCTAGCTTTTGCATCAGAATCTTCGGAGCTGGAAGAGTCCTGGTGTGCAGCAATGGTTTTTTTTCTTTTGGATGCTACAAGTTAGTTGTCAAAAGTCCGGGTATATATATATAGTTATATAGATATATCGATTATTGATTTGGAGTTGGATTGGAACAAAATGGCATTTGACAAATGCAGGGTCCTCTTGGGCATCTGCACCTGCCTTGGCAGCAGCCCGTTGTGCCTTTTTCTCTGCGATCTTTCTGTTGTGCTTTTCCACAGCCTCCTTGGGAAAATGACGCGTCTAGTCCATACAAATCGAGTTAATTAGTAGACATCGATAGATCTATTTGTTCCACATGAAATCATAACGAAAGCCAACATTTCAGTGCCATCCAGCATGATGATCTAATAAGGGGCTAGGCCAGTTTAGAGATGTTGAGACATGAATGTGAGCCCATGCCACTGCCCGTGCAGGTAGCAATCCTGGAGACTGTTGTCCAAGTCGATGCAGAGCTGCTGGAAAGCAGGCACCTGGGATGAGATGATAATCAACAACACTTGACACATTAAATGGATAATTGCACGAGTGGGATGCAATCCCAAAACTCATCTAGGAACCATTGGGGCTTAGGTCACTTGATTTCTTCAGAAATTATATTTGCAGAAAAGGCACCGATGATACTTCCCCTCTGCGGCATTTCATCTTCAGGAATCCTAAGAGCTTCCTGATGCGCCACGACGCTGAGATCACATCAGGCTGGTCCTCTGGTGTTTGACCACGTTTGTTGACGAGGTAAACCTTTTCCACCTCATCCCGCAATTTGTCAACATTTGGTAAGGGCTTGTGCTCAGTCATGCTCATCCTGGTGATTAGTGGTTGCAACACAAGGCTAGCAGCCACACAAGCTGGTATATCTTCAGTCTTGCCATCTGGCAACAACTCCTCACCAGCTCGCAGGCCATCTCGGATGTCCTTGTTGGCATCCCACTCTAGATGAAGGCCATCAATGGGGAGAACTGCCTGTGAACTTAACTTGGGACGGCCACCAGCCTTTTTTTGGCAGTTTCCAGCCATCCTCAAATATAGATCAAGATGGCACTGCTTGAGCCGCTTAAATCACGGTTAGCCACTGAAGATCTGACATGTGCAACCATTTGGCTTGTTTGATGATTTCCATGTGTATAGAGCAAAGTCAGATTAAGTATGTATTCGGTCCTTCATACAACATACCAGCAGAATTGCATTAAAGAGCCAGTGAAGAAGCGCCCAAGCCTCTCACAGGTCTGGGATACCCGGCTGGCCAGTGGACTTTGAGCTTGCTCGCATTGCTCAAAAGCTGGGCACAGTTGCGGCGTCATTGGACACTACAATTCTTGTTGGGAAATGAAAAGTGAAACATGGTAAAAACCAAACTTGGTAAACATTCTTGGCATCTCATCCCAAGAGTTTTGGCACCTTGATCTATAGTGATATCAGGATTGATCTAATTTCATACTACTTGAAATGGATTGGTTATAATCGATGATATTTTCCCATAATCCAGCATCCAACCCATCGTGATCATCTTTGATCCCAACATCCTGCAGCGCCTGGGCATGTGCGGGGGCCCGGAGATAACCATTGGGATCTAAATCATCAAAATATCTCAAAGATACAGATCTCAGTAGAAACCCGATGTTTTCGTTTCAAACCCGATATTTTTAAAGGGTTGATGCTCAAACCCGATGTTTGCACTCAAACCTGTTTATTTTAAAGGGTTTAGATGCTAAGGGTATACATCTATTTATATATATATATCACCAAACATCTATTTCCTTGAACATTCTTCTGTTAAGAGACATTCCACCAGGAAACCGACGCCCTGGAAGCGCCGCCAGCGCCGCCAGCGCCGGCGCCAGCGAAGCCCGCGGCGCCCAAAGCGGCGAAGCCGGCGCCCAAAGCAGCGCCAGTCGCATCCGGTGGCGGAGCTCAGCATGGAAAATAGGGGGGAGATGGGGAGATGTCATGGACGGAATATTTGGATGGAGTGTAATGGATGATAATGATAATGGATGGACATACCGGGATGATCCGGGATGGACATATTTATGTGAAATAGAGTGAAGTCGTGCTTGTTTTTCATCGTTGCTGGAAAACAAAAGTATCCCCGGCCGAGGTGCAGCACCCGCTCCACGCGAACGGAGTCGCTCTCCAGGTGGATTCCCGCAGTTCGGACGGGGGGATGGAGGTGAACGAAGTCATGTCAACTCAGGCAATGGATATGTTGGCTGATTAATCAACAACGACAATAACTATAATGCTAATATATATATATATGCTAATACATACACGTTGGCAACAAGGACTATCGCAAGCTCTTTGACCAATGTGTCATCATCCTTGAGCCTTGTCATCACATTCCATGTGAGTCCCTCAACTCAACTGTGATTGATGTTTTGTCACCTGGCTAAGGCAAAGCAGCGTTGCTTGGCTGATGCAGTACGGGCCGGATTGATGGCACCCAAATGTGATGGAAAGATCTTGGACTCATCAGGTTGAAGAAGGCACCGTGTTTGTTGCACTTATCGATCTGGCCTGATAGGCCTGATTCCAAAAGGAGGGAGAGAACAACTTGTTTCATAGCATTTGACTTGCCTTGAAACTTGAAGTGATGTCTCCTCAATTGTATAATAATGCCATCAGCGATTCAAGGCCAAAGAAAGCTCCGAAGGCACGCGACGGCTCGGGGGAGTGGCGAGACTGGTGAGGAAATGTGATTTGTGGCCCCATTTTCCATATCTATTGTACGAGTCCAACAGGCTCAGTTTTTCAAGTTCTTGACCAGTATAGCTTCCACATATAGAGAGAATGCAGAAAATTGAGCATATATGATCACCAATCCAATGTAATAGACCGGTGTAATTAATAGGGATTCTCACCATGGGATGGATGACCATACCACATATATTGAATTTTCCATGGAATATTTACCAACATTTACCAACATTTACCAACACTTACCAACACTTACCAACATTTACCAACATTTACCAACATGTCCCTTCAAAATCACCCAGGATTGTGACTAAATCGGCTAAATCTGCCATGGAGCATGGGATCGCTCCAGGCAGCGCCCAAGCCGCCTGCGGCGCCGAAGGCGACGGCGCGAAAACCGGCGGTGCCCAAGGCAGTGCCGGAAAAGAAGGCACGGATGGGGGATGTGAATGCCATTGATGAACAATCTGGAGGTTTTAATGGGAAAATCATCGAAGTGTGGGATCTCAATGATGTTACCCAAGGCTAATCAAACATGGCCAGCTGGAAAATCCACCATTTAGTTTGATGATTGTCCCATCAAAACCTTGATTTCCAGGAGATTTCCAATTACCATGGTGGTGATATACTGATCTGGTGAGTGATGTATGATATGCTTGGAACATATCGATACATGATGACGATGTATGATGTGTCATGCCAAGATGGGACAAACAAAAACCAGCAATATTCACTGACTGGTATAACGGTATAACTTATAGGGGTCATGTATATAGATATTATTACATAATTATATAAGTATAATGTAATTATATATACATATATATATATATATCATTTTGCATTTACACATGATCTGGTAGGCCAAAGCCAAGTCCGACCTCAAGGCGCCGCAGGCCAGGGCCAAGCTGGAGGGGTTTGGTGATTTTTGGATTTCCAATGATTGCATCATGACATATCATGACCAACCATTGGATTTAACATTGGATTAAACATTGGATTAAACATTGGATTAAACATCATGAAGAAAAATCCGAAAAATGCCACCCGGGAGTTTTGGCAGTGCCTCGGCCAGACACTCGTGGCAGCTTTGTAAAACTATTGAGGCCCAGCCCTTCAGAAGTGAAGTATCTAATCAGAAACCAACCAGCTTCCAGGTACAAACTCAGCCCACGTCCGGTGCCTGGTTCAGACCGGCTTTTGCCTGCAGTCTGAAGGCAATATTGGTGTGAAGCATCAACTGTCAACTCCATTAGGCAAAGTCCTTCTTGCATCCCTATAGGAACCCATGTTCCAGTTCCTGTTGGAAACTTCCATCACCCACCTTGTGCGGGCTCCATGTGTAAGCACGCTTTGCACGACTTGCACCACCAAACAACAGTACATGAGCTGAGGCCTGTCCGTGGAAGTGCCAG